TTGGGATGGGGCCCGGATGGGTTTTATGGTTGATTTCTAGCATAGAAAGATTGAGAAACAGAAACAAAAATAGCAAGCAAAAACCTTTCTATGTCTTCTTACCATTTACAGAGTAGAGATTAGAGTCACACGTTATAGATGCCAAGAGGAATTGATTTACAAAATCCAGATTGTGTAAAACTTTATAAATGACTGCAACTTTAAAAATAGGAAAGATAAGTGGAGCTGGAGAAATGATTCAGTGGTTATAGAGAAGACTTAAGACTGATTCCCAGCATCTATATTGGCAGCTCAGAACCAGCAGTAACTCTATCTTCGATGGATCCAGCGCCCTCTTCTGGCCTCCACAGGTACCTGCACTCACATGCATGTAGAGTTAGGGTTAGGGTTAGGGTTAAGGTGAGGGTTAGGGACTCTTTAACAGACACATGATTAAAAGAAATCTTTAAAAAGTGAACAGCATGTAATCATACAGCAAAGAAATGAAAAGATACTTAAGAGACAGCAAAAAAGTACGATGTGTGGGCAGGCCTTGCGTGAAGTCTTAGATGAACAAACCAAGTGTTAAAACAATGTGCTTTTTTGAGAAAAATCTGACAGCATTTTGAGAAATATTTTTGTGAAAATATGAATATTAAATTTTGTGAAGTGTCACATTACATCAAGTCTATTATGTTTTAAGAAAGTCTTCATATGTTAGCAGAGGGCCAAAAGTAGTTTTAGATTCATGTCTGAGAATTTGCTTCTAAAACACCAGGAAGTTACTGAAATAGTGAAAAAAAAAAAAAACCAAACACATCGCAAAATGTTATCATTCATTGAACTTGAATAATTCATGCGTTTGGATTCATCATATTGTTCTATTTTTGTGTGTGTCTGTGTGTTTCATATTTCCCTAAGACAGCCTTGAATTTAAAGAAAGGAAATGAACTCAAATATATATTGACTAAGTTCTTCCTTTCCAATTGATTTTGAAAGGGAAAAAGAAATTAAGAAACGAAGTAATCAAGACCCACTTATTCAGTCAGGATAGACAAAATACCCATATGGTATAGAATTCAACTTTAGGGGCCAGTGTGATGGCTCAGCAGGTAAAGATGCTTGCTGCCAAGGCTGGTAACTTACTTTGATCTCTGGTACCCACGTGATAGAAGGAGAACGCTAACTCCTTAAAGTTGTCTTCTGACCTCCACACATATATCACAACTCATATGCCTTACACACACACACGCACATAGATAGATAGATAGATAGATAGATAGATAGATAGATAGATAGATAAAATCAAAGTCTACAGAATTGTAGACACTCTACCCCAAGAGAATCCATTTTATTCTACAAATGATGCCTGTTTTTCTTTGTCTTTGGGAAGTTCTCTTGAGGCGGAGTTTTTTTGGTGTGTGTGACCATGTGCATGTGCTTGTGTGTGTAGGTTTATTACAGGTACATGCCAAGCATATATGCATACACAAAAATATGCACACACAATTGCAAACAAATATATGGTGGTTTAAATATGATGTCTTTGCTAAAGTTCCATGAGATTTAACATTGGGTCCCCAGATGGTGGAGCTGTTTGAGAGAGTTCTTTAGGTTCATAAGTAAAAGCAAATGACACATTAGACTTCCATTTTCTGGTAGTCTGAAAGTGATCATCTCTCTGTATCCCCTTAGGGACAGCTGCAGAGCAAGGCTCAGTGATGTTCCTAAGGTGATTATAGGTCTTCAGTGTATGATTATACCTTTTCTCTGGAAACTATCTAATACAGTGGAAAAGTCAAAAAAACATCTGACTTCACATTATTTAAAAGTAATTTGTCTCTTCTCTCCTTTTCTTAAGATTTGGACATGTGGGGTGGTGATGGTTCAGTAGGTAAAGGCTTGCCTCCAAGTCTAACAATCTGAGTTATGTCTCTAGAACCCCACAGGGTGGAAGGAGAGAATCAACTCCTGTAAGTTGTCCTCTAACCTCTACACAGACACACACAGAGACACACACACACAGACACACACAGAGACACATACACACAGACACACACACACACACACACACACACACACACACACACATATATATATATATATATATATATATATATATATATATATATATATATATATATATATATAGAGAGAGAGAGAGAGAGAGAGAGAGAGAAACATAGGCATACATATATATACACAGACACACACAGGCATATATACAAATGTACATACACAGCACATACACACATCCAAGCACTCACACACGCATGAACACACATATACATCACAGATATAAAACATATATATATACATATGCATGTTTACACACACAGAAACGCATAACACCCATATATACACAGAGAGACATATACACACATATATACACACACAGAAATACATACACATAGAGAGACACACATATACACACACACACACATATACACATATACACAGAGAGAGAGGCATACATATGCATACAAGCACACACATACATACAGTATAAGAAAAAGATTTAGATGCTACCATCATATTCTTTACCTATACTTTCTAATTAACACTGTTTAGAAAACTACAAGTTCCAGTCTCATTTCCTTTCTCAGTACTGAGTAGTTTATGGTTTTGGTCACCTTGGACCTAGTCATTCCATCAACTATTTTGGTCACAGGCTGCTGCCTGCTTTGCATGGATGCAACCACTCGGGAGTCACCTCAGCTATTTTAGCTTTCCAAACCAGGAAGACTTCCTGTTCTGATGCCTTTTATACACCAAAGATGGGATTAAGAGGGAACCGACTATCTCACAAGATGCTTAGAAAGATCTTAGAAGGACCTGTCTCCTGGTGGGGGAAAAGCTGCCAAGAGAAGACAGTGTTTGCATACTAAACATTTCCATGAAGTGTAGACTGCATAGCAAGTCAGACATCAAAATACCCAACTGACCCAGGGATTCTATGCCATCTCTTTTCTTTTTAAATTTTATTTATTTCTGAGGTATGCACATGCTATTGCTCACATGTGATGGTCAGAAGACAACTTGAAGGAGCTGGTTTTCTCCTTCTTCCATGTAGATTCTGGAGGTCTAACTCAGGTTGTCAGGCTCAGTGGGGTGTGCCTTTACTCACTGAGCTATGTTGCCAGCCCTTCAAGTCATTTTTATAGATGAATTGTGTACATAAATGAATGATTACAATGAGCAAAAACTGTATTTATGTACATGAAGGAAGTTCTTCACTTATTCAGTCAGGATAGACAAAATACCCATATGGTGTAGAATTCAACAATACTAGGCAGATTGATGAGCTCTAGGTTTGATTGAGAGGCCCTGCCTCTACAAGTAAGATGAAAGAGTGAAGAATGATTCTAGACATGAATCTGGAGCCTCTGTGTAAAGACACAAAAAAAATGCTACACAATGCACATGCATGAAAAATATATATAAAAAAAAACCCTGACATGCATATTTAAGATTTGTTTACTTATGTAGAGTTATAATGTGTTCATTACACACAAAAACATGTTAATGATTGGCAGCAAACTTGGCTAGCATGCACTAGGCTCTGGGTTTCATCCCTAGTACCACAAACAAGCAAAACCTTCTTAATTTCCTAAGATATTAGATCTTAAATTCATCTCTCCCCAGCAGCAACTACATCGATGTGGGTATGTTATGGTGGTGACGATACTGATAATTTCACACTGTACATCAAGACACCACAAACTGAACACCTTTAAAATATGCAACTTTGATACATCAGTGATAGCCCAGCAAAACCATTCAACCTACAAGTCCAAAGAAAAGGAGAAAAAGGAAAGAAAACCCCTATGAGGATGGGCAGAGGAGTGTCCTTCTAATGAGCTTTACCAACAAGCTCTGTTGTCACCAAGAACAGCCCTACAGAGCTTCTTGTCCCTGGGGATCCTTCCAGACATACAGGTATACTCTGCACAGACAGTACTTCAACCCTACCCCCATGCTTTCTCCCCTGATGTAACCTCTTTCCATTCATCCATTCTGTTATCAGAGTATATAGAGATGCTCAAATTGTTCTTGTCTTCAAAGAAAAATAAAGAGGCACTGGGATAGGGCTCAATAGGCAAGAGTACTTGTGCAAGCATGAAGACCCAAGTTCAATTCCCTGTCACCTGTGTAGGAAGCTGTAACCCCAGCACTATATGGAATGAAGACAGGAGAATTTCTGAAACTTTCTAGCCTGGTCTAAGTGTAGGTTCAGTGAAGGACCCTGTCTCAAACGAATAAGGTAGAGAGTTGTTCTATGTTCATTTCTGTTGCTGAGACAAATACTGTGACAAAAACCAATATTGAGAAGGAAGGGTTTATTTGATTTACAATTCTAGGTTATCATTTGTTATTTTAGGGAGAAGTCAAGTCAGAAACTTAAGGAGCTGGTCACATCACATCCACAGTCAAGAGCAGAGAGAGGACAAATACTCACTTCCTTCCTTGCTTGCTTTCAGCTCACTTACACTATTCAGCATCCCTTGGCTAAGGAATAACACCTCCCAGAATGGACTGAGTTTTCTTTCATCAATTAACAATTGAGATGGTCCCCACAAACTTGTCCACGAGTCAACCTGATCTAGAAAATTCCTCATAAAGACTGTTACCAGGTGATTTCAGATTTTATCCTAGATTTAACTGTCAAGTTGACAATTAAAATTATCCATGACACCATCAAAATACTAAAGATAGAAATTTTAATTTGAGATACTAGTTTCTAAAAGAAATTGAATGCAAGGGAGCACCTGACCCTCCATTTAATGTCCTGAGCAGGTTGTTAAGACATGAGACACACTGCTCAGCCTTTAGAGAAGAAAAGACCAAGTCACCTCCAGTTAAGGAACAGTGACGTTTATGGTGATGTCTCTGTTCAAATATCTTTACTGGGATGCCCCGGGATAAGAAAATCCCACTTAAAAGCTATAAGAGCCTTTGAAGACACCTCAAGGATGAGGCTCCCATCATAAATCAGGAGGAAGAGATGCCATGTTACCAACCTTGATTCCAAGTTCAATATTCTCTCCTCCATACACATCCATCCCAGGGTCCAGCAGACCAATTTCACCAAAGAATTTCCTGTTCACCACAAACGAGCAGCCAATCATGGCTGGTGTTCTGTAGGAGAAAGAAAGAAGCAAGATCGTCAATATATAGGCAAATGACATCTTTTTGGCAGACTTAACCCAGCTAGTGGTTATTAACCTTCCTGATGCTGTGACCCCTCAATGCAGTTCCTTATGTTGTGATGACCCACAATCCATAAAATTATTTTTGTTGCTACTTCCTGACTGTAATTTTGCTATGGTTATGAATCATAAGGTAAATATCTGATATTTCCGATGATCTTAGGCAACCCTTGTGGAAGGGTTGTTTTGACCTCCAAAGAGGTCACAACCCACAGGTTAAGGACCACTTCCATAAAGTGTGCAGGGATATCAGCCCTAGTCTTTTTTGAGTCTTCAACTTCCCCATTCTGCATCTCTTCATAAGGTTGTCTTTAGCTGCAGAACAGGAAACTTAAGCATCTAGGGCTATCCCAGACCCCTGGCAAGCTGGGAGAAGACTATGATGTCTGCCACATGAAGAGTGGTTCTCACTGCACTCTGGGAACAGCAGACTGATTGTATAGAGATCAAGAGGCTATCTCAATTCATTTCAGCAGCTATAATCTGCTCTACCCAAGGAAGCAGAAAGGATTGACCAATTGTGATGCATGAACGTCATATCAGAGAATAGGTGATGGTTAACCTTCAATGTTAACCTGACTGGGTTTGGAATCACCTAGAAGACACACACCTATGGGTGTGCTTCTGAGGGTGTTTCTGGAGAGGTTTAACTGAGGGGGAAAGGACCTGTCCTCCATAAGTGGAGGGTGCCACTACCCCATGTTTGGGACCAATAAAAAGGAGAGGGCAAGCTGAGAACCAGCAGTCATCTCTATCCTGATTGGATATAGTGTGACCAGGAGCTTCATGCTCCCATGGGCATGATGCATTGCATACTCCAAAACCTTCCTTTTTAAAGTTGCTTTTGTCTGATATTTAGTCACAGAACTGGGAAAAATAGCTAGCATAGAGTCTCAAATCTTAAAAAACCCAAAAGATCCACATTCTGCCTAGAGACCCAATGGATCAGGAATCTGGTGACTGAAGGATGAAGAAGAACTAGAGAGTAAAATCCTGGTGTTGATGGGTATCTGAGACATCTTCCCTGTGAAACAGTTATATATTCTGGGAGCCTCTCACCAGGACAAGAAAAGTCTTTTCACTAAGAAAAGACAGCTGTCTAGACAAGTGTGAGTCCTGGCTACGGAGGAAAGCCACAGGTAGGGGACCAGACATCAGGAAGCCTGGCCTCTCTGTCTGCATCCTGGGTAGTTCATCTGAACTCAGAGACAAGGGGTGGGAAGCTGCTTCTGATGGAGAACAAGGAGTCATGAGATCACTGTTGGTATCTTGTGAAAAGGTTGTGGTTGAAATCTGCCATAGTGTCAAGGAGTCTGACAGAGACTGTGGAAAGGAGAGGATGAAAGAAACCCTAAAATGAGACCCCAGGATACAGGACTGCTTTGAAACAAATGCAAACATAGAGCTCTGGGGGTACCTCACAATGCTAGGAACAGGAGGGATTCTTAGCAGAACATTGTGACTAACTGGTAAGTGATGTGGAGATTTAGTAGTTAAAAGATACATAGTCAACATAGTAGCATATACACCTACAATTCTTGTAGGAGGGATGTTGGGGCAAAAGGCTAGCCTGGGCTACAGAGTGAGTTCAAGGCAGCCTTCACTATGTCTCAAGTTCAAGGCCAACTTTAGCTATATTACAAGTTTTAGGTCAACCTGGGCCACATAGTGAGTTCAATACTAGCATGCTGAACTCAAGGCCAGCCTAGGGCATGGCATATGTACAAGACCTATCTGGGTTACTAGATGAGTTAGCCTCAGCTACCCAGTTAGTTCAAATCTAGCATAGGCTACTTTAATGAGTTGAGACTGGACCAGCCAGCATTTCTGGTAAGTTCAGGGGCGCTCAGCTACTTTGAGACCATTTGACTGGACTTAAAAATAATCAGCTATCCTTTGCCTGGGAAAAACATTTCCTTGGCAAGAAGCTGCTTCTTGAAACAATGGGACCTGCTGTGCCTGGTGGCAGGTGAACTAGCCCCGTCCTCACCATTGTTAAACTGAGAACAAAGTGTAGCCTCACTTCCACTGTAGGCATCCATGCCACCTGTCCGGCCATGTGAGCTGTAGTCAATAACACTCTGGGGATGATGAGATTCTTGAATGTGTGCTTACAGCCTCGTTTTTCAAATTCAACTGCAATTACTACTATTAGCACAAACATTCCAACTCAAAATCATTCAGAAATGATAATCGTGTTAAGGGAATCTGCCAATGCCCTAATAGCTCCATTACAGAGGAGAGGAACAGAAATTAAAAACAATCACTTTATTGTTGCTATTTCACAAAATATGTGCACCGCACATGACCATTCCAGCTGAGGGGGGAGAGGGAGGGGGAGGGGGAGGAAGACAAGGAAAGGAAGACAGACTCAGCCCAGCAATGGGTGGTAGCCATGAGAAGTCCCATTCAGAGGTACAAAGTGTTCCGAGTTTCTACACTGGCCCTTTTTATATGTTTGACCACATCTTCTGTGGTTTGGATTGAAAGAAGCCACACAGGCTATTTGGGAGGACCTTTGGGAGTGGGGCCAAGTTGAAGGAAGTATGTCACTAAAGGGGTAGGACTTTGATGCTCCTGACCCTGCTTCCAGCCTCTGATTCTTGGTCCTCTATAATGTAGGGAGAGTCTCCATCACAAACATCCATCAGGAACTCCTCCATGTTCTTCCAGCTATGGCTGGAAGGAAAGAAATCTTTTAAGGCATAGGTAAAAAGATTATCGTTAATCCAAATGAATAATATTGATTATTGATTGGAAGGGATTTGGACTCTCTTAGAAACCAAACCTCAGGACAGGTCTATGAGAGAATTTCTAGATTAGCTTCTTTAAGGTGGGAAGACCTACCCTGAATCTAGATGTCACCATCTCATAAGCTGGGGTCCAGGACTAAATATGAATGCAGTGTTACTAGCTCCAGTTTCTGCCGCACTGACTTCCGTACCATGATAGACTGTACCCACTCAAACTATGAGACAAAAGTAAAACCTTCCTTCCTTTTAGTTGCTTTTGTTTGGTATTTTGTCCCAGCAGTTAGATGAGCAAGTAGTACACACCTATAGTACATCCTGGAAGAGAGTTCTTGATAGAGCACCTGCCTAGAATCCCCCAGTGAGGGGCTGGGGGTGTGGCTCAGTGGTAAAGCACCTGCCTAGAATCCCCCAGTGAGGGGCTGGGGGTGTGGCTCAGTGGTAAAGCACCTGCCTAGAATCCCCCAGTGAGGGGCTGGAGGCTTGGCTTAGTAATAGCACACCTATTTAAACATGTACAAGGCCCTGGTTTTGGTCTACAGGACCACAAAGCCAATCAACAGCACTCTCGCAGATATCTTAGCGTTAGCTTCAGCATCTCTTACTCTCAGAGAATAGTAAGGCCTGGTTCTTTCAGTAGCTAGCGCTGCCAGCCCTCTGCTCATAGATTTTACACCCCTGGACTCAACCAGCCATCACCTGAAAATACTAGCAAACAAAACTGCACCTGTGTTAAACATGTCCGGATTTGCCTTCTCATTCTTACTTGCAAACATTATAACACAAACTTGCACGTTGACATTGTGCTGAGGTTTTCAGTGCTGCGGTGATTAATGGCCTGGGAATGACGTAGGTTTTATGGGAACACCACCTTGTCTACATAAGAGACTTGGGCATATTGGATTTGGGTAACCATGGTGGAGTCCTAACCAACCCTCCATCCACAGAACTTAGCGACATCTCTGTCAGCCTCTTTGGCAACAGGCATCTTGGTTGATAACACCCTGCAGATTACAGTGCACTTTGTGATGACGCTGTGCTCTGTGGACTCTTTCATGTGCTTCCGCATGAACAGAGGGAGGTCAATGAGGGGATGCTGCCCTTCAGTTCCAGGAGGTGTATACGGAGAACAGTAGAAGACATGGGGTGATGGGGAGAACTGTCTGCATTGAGTGACTCAGTCCAGCCAAGCCCTTTACTGGGAATCTTTTGGAGATTCATAATTCTTAAAGTGGCACTACTTTAGAGACATCATTAAGCCCATTTCCTGTCGGAGGGAATTGACACTCAGAGACTGTGTTCAGCTAGCTTTCCATTGCTATCACAAAACACCCGAGCTAGTTTTATTTATAAAGAAAAAAAAAGGTTTATTTTGGTTTGAAACACTCCAATACGTGATCAGGTAGTTCTACTGCATCATTATCATCGTCAGAGGACAACTTTCAAGAGTCAGTTTTTTTTTCCTTCCACCATGTGAGTCCCCAAGATTAAACGAGGTTGTTGGTCTTGCTGTCTAGCGCTTCTCTCTGCTGAGCTGCCTGGCCAGCCAGCCTGGTTGCATGGCCTTTAAGTTTCAGCAGGGGGTGCTAGATAACAAGGGCAGACAAGGGTATATGCCACAGAGAAAAACTACCTACTGGCCAGAGGGCAGAAGGACACTGAAAGGAAGAAACTATCCCTCTCCTCCTAACAGGACATCCCCAACAACCTAATATCCTCCCAGCAGCAGCTCCATGCCTTGCCCTGCCCCGCCCCGACCCGCCCCCCACTTCCCCATGTGTGTGCGCGGGCGTGTACATACCCAGGTATACATGTGCATGTCAGGTCAGAGGATGACCTCAGTTGTTATTCTTCAGGTGCTACCCATCTTCGTTGGGAGACAGAGTCTCTCACTGACTTGGAACTGGACAAATAGGCTAGCTCGACTTGCCAGCAAGGCCCAGAGATCCACTTGAATTGGCCTCCCAAGGGTTCACTACCATGCCTGGCACTTAAAAAATATTTTAAAACACTTTTCATACATATTTTACGAGTGTTTTGTTTACATGCATGTCTGTGTACCACGTGTGTACCTGATGGATGCAGAGGAGGGAGTTAATTCTCTCAAACTGTAGTTACAGATGGTTGTTAGCTACCATGCGGGTGCTGGGAATTGAACCCCTGTTCTCTGTAACAGCAG